GGAAACTTTGCAACATTAATATAAAAATCTTAAGAATCATAACCTTACAGCACCACAATTTGTCCATTTGAGTTCCTTTCACTTTGTCAGTGTGTAGTATAGAACTGACTTAATCCATTCCAGCTTTGAAACTAATTGTTGCTTACATAATTTAATTACATTAACAGATTAATATTTCTTATGCAATTAACACGCATTGTTGTATCTTTTCATTGGAAACATTAGTTTGCATGGAAAATGGCCAAAATCTTAAAAACCTAATAAACACCAGAGACCAGTCCCCAAAAGAATGTAATCAAGACAAAGTATAAGAAAATACTTTAACTTTCCTTGACTACCTGGTACACTAAGGAAAATAAGGCTTACTATTTCTGAAATGTCTCCCTCAGCTTCTCTCATTCAAATGTAGACTCTGATCAATTTCACCATCAATGCCATTGCACAGAGATAGCGCTGACTAAGTAAACAAGACATATTTTTCAACTAGTGCAGCCCAATGAATGTGGTTAATAATTCATTAAGTGACTAATATTTTGTAAGGCTGTGTGAGAAATATTAATTAGGATAATAGTAAAAGATGGTGTACTGTTCTGTGAAAAGCAGGAAACTGATTTTTGAGGTGATAATTCTAGAGAGCAGGATGAATAACTTCCCTCAACAAGATAACTGGATGGCTGCTGAGAAGAGTTAGATGGTCCTTCCACCATAACTCTGCTCTGTCTTCCCCAAGATGCCTCCAAACCATTGCTGAACACAATAATGTGAGAAGCAGAAGAGAAATGGAGGGAATCAGAGAAGGGATGCAGCTTCAAAGTTTAAAAACTTCTTATAATCTCATAAAAATTTAAAAGTATTTGAAATGAGTTTAAGAATCTAGTAATTGTAAAGGCTGTTATTTTTCATGTTACGCCATGTGGAGTGATTAACGTTACTGAAAAAAATTAGTAAGTGTATGACAAAAATAAGTGGATTTACATGGCCTCCTTATACTCGCTCTGGGCACATACTCATGCCATGACTTATCCCCCAATTTAAACTATTTTCTTCTATTTTACTTTCTTCATTTTCTTTTTCATCCAGGTAAGCATAATTCCATGCCCAAAGTTGACAGACTGTGAAATTTAACTGTATATCTCCCACTTACATTTTAATTGGAAAAAAATAACTTTTACATCAAAAGACCAAACCCTAAGTGCAGAATTTCAGACAACAGTCAGTTGATAGAAGACATGATTTTTCAGATCTTTCCTGGCACTACTAAATTCCAGGTCTACAAACTGCCATTGACCTTGCCTGTTGCAGACTTAGTGTTTTTGAGATACAAGTTTCTTTGGAGATTAGACCAACTTTAGAGGACACTTATATCAACCTCACCTTGATTTAGGGAAAATCCTTATTCCTTTCCTTTTATTCTTATCTTCTCTGTGTTCAAAACCCAGGGTTTTTAGAAGCAACATTATAGTCCACTCAGTTGCTCATTTATTTACAAACATTTTATGAATTCCCACAATTGTTTTTAGGCAATGTGCTGAATGCTGGTAAAACAAAAATGGACAAAGCTCTGTCCCTTTCCCCAGTCACTGGAGAAGACAGCACAATCACGTGCTATTGGTGTTAAGGCAGAAGTCTGTTCAGGGTTACACTTGGGGTCACAAAAAGTGAGTGGTAAATCCTACCTCCAATAATACCAAGATGTGTTCATATATCTACCATAGCTTAATTTTAAAAATTCTTATATTTGTACAGAAAATAGCATTAGAAAAATTAGTACTATAACCATGTTTGACCAGAAACCACATAATGCCTAAAAAGTTCTGATTTTTATTACAAATATTTATTATTGTTGCTCTACTATTACATTTGGCACATCTATGGGTTTTTTTATTTCCAAAATGCTTTGCTAATCTGTAACTTATTATTACTTACAGCTTTTTTTGTTGAAAAGATTTTCCTACAGCAAGGTACAAAAAAGGCATTCTACTGAAAACATTTTAAATTATACTAGTTACCAAAAAGACTATCTTTATGTATTACTGTTCTATTGAAATTTTTCTTTTCAATCAAATTCCATTCATTTCTACATAATGCATGTCAATAACAGCTACCATGGAAAAATAACCACCAGCAAAAACTGTTTTTCTACCTGTCCTTATTTTTTGCCACTCCTCATGTTTCCTTCTATTTCTATTTGTGAAAGTTTGAATCCCTCCTTCTTGATGCCCTTAAATCCATAATTACTTCTTATGACAACTCTTTTGACGCCCACATTATAAATTATTCATTATTTTGAATGACGCCTTAATTTCAAATGCACTCTTGTACTCCTACTTTGTCTTCTGTATTTTTCTCCTATATTATTTTTATACTTTTAAATAATCTTGCTTTGAGACTTCTGGCATCTTTCTTTTTCTCTGAGAGATGCCCCTAGAATGCTGTTGCTACAGGGAATTTAAAAATCAAGTGATTCTGGTATTTCCCTTATTCGCTCTTACTTCATTCCTGTTTTCTTCGTTTGCTCTTCCAGTTCCTTACATCTAGAGTGTTCTCTTCTGCCCCATCTAGCCTGTCCTTTAGCCACTTCCTTCAAAACCTGATACAATATTAATTTCCTTCAGACTAACTCTCCTGGACTAACCTACTCCAATTTACTGTGTCTCTCGACCTCTGGGAATGTCACTATAAACTATACATTTCATTCTCATTTACTTGGAAAGTGTTTGTTTTTGTAATTTCATTCAGCTATTTAGTTATACATTTTGTAATATTATTTATATAATTACTATATGCCTTTTCTAATTCCTGATTTTTCCTTCTTATTAGTTTTAATGATAACCATTATTTTGTAACATAAACATGTAATTGGTTGCTTACTATCTGTCTCTCCTGCTAGAATACAAGCCCTTTAGGATAATTGCTTATTGTTGTATCCCCAGAGCCTAAAAAATATACACAGTAATTGCTCAATTAATATTACAGTATCTTTGAAATATCATTCGGAGATTAGTGAAATGAAAGTGCTCACAAATGCTTGCTGATTTTTTTAAACCCCATTTTGGCTGGAATGGCTCACACTTTTTGTAACAGGTGGGATGTATTTTGCTGTAAGATGCAGAAAACCTTACCAACACAGACTTAAATCGAAAGACACCAGCTGTTTACTTAGCCATAAGTCCAAAGGTAGGAAGTTCTAATATTAGTTTGACTGTCCAAAGTTGTCATGCAGAACCTAGGTTCTTCCCATCCTCCTCCTTGGCCATCTGAAGTTGCTGGCTTTCTACGGTATTGCATCATAATGCCATAATGCATCATAGCCCCAAAATGGTGTCCACATTCTCGTATTTCAATGTGTAAAGCAGGAAGCAAGGAGAGTGACATCAGAAAACAGGGATATTTCCTCACTCTTGTCAATATCCTAGAAATCCCTCCAGCCCCAGCAGCCTTCTCCCCATTCCGATGACAAGAACTGAGTCACATGCCTACTTCTGGACTAACGGTGGGCAGAGGGAAAGCAATGCTATTAAAGTCCAATCCTGATTCACCCCAGCTTCTTTGGCAAAAATAAAGGGAAACTGCTGGGTACGCAAGCAACACTGTGCCTGCTCTTCTGCTCTGTTAAATGAACCACACTGAAGCTCTGTTTTCCACAGAATCCTCCAGCTCTTAAGATTCTTCAGTCTTTTTCTTTTTTCTGCCTACATTTTAATCATTACGCATTTTCTTTCAGATTTTTTTTTCTGATTAAAATGGCCTTTTGAAACATCTACTCTGTCCACCCATAAGTTTCTTTTATTGAGTTGTTCCCATACTCTTAATTTCTGCATTCTAATTCCTTTTCTTTTCAAAAACACTGAGACATATCACATTTTTAAAGGAAGAACAAAGTTTATTTTGCCCCTTCCTTTCCACTCCACATATATATTTCAGATTCTCAACTGTATTAGGAGCCTCAGAGGGCAAGAAACCATCGTCTGCTCTCCTTATAATTGCCAGCAGCGTTTCACAGGTGCTAAATGTACTTGACGTGCCCTTCCCCTTTATGGTTAATCAGAGGCATGCAGGCTTTAATAAGAAGCAATAGGAATCAGGGTTTTACAGTTGAAAAGTACCCCTCGCATTACAAATATCCTCTACTAATTTGGTTCTATTAAATTCTCTGCATATGTGCTTCTTGCTGGTGTCAGGAAGTCCCAGAATACAGTGGATTTCCCACTTCATACCACCTTTTCCAACATCTTTCACAGAAAGAAAGGATGGACCTGGGTTTCCATGGTAACACAACTGTGATAATGGAAGGTATCTGGCTATAGGTGAGATAACTCCCTCTCAGATTTAGTGGAGGGAGGAGAAATGAAGATTTTCTTTCTTTTTATTCTCCTGGCAATGCACTTCGGAAACTAAAGGGATCCTGCAGTGTCAGTCACAGCGTTAAGTTTTCACTGTCTTACAGATTTACAGCTCTTGGGCATAATTCACATTTCTTTTATATCATTTTTATTTATTTCCCACAAACGAATGAAGACAAAAGTTATTTCTATAATCATCTCAGAATAGAGTTTATGCTGGCATCAGAATGAACATGACTAAGGGGTTAGAAAACAGACATCCATCTCCCCCCCAAGTCCTCTAAATTCTCTACACGTCCTGACATCCTTTTTATAGCAGCTAATCTTTCACCCAACATTTCACATACAGCCACAAATCAGGTAAGTACCATCGTTTAAGCCAGAATAGGTGAGAAAATATGCTCTGACCTGTCATGTTTCTTTTGCCTCTTGGTGGTTAAAAATCAACCTTTATGGTACTGAGCATGAAATCTGAGGCCTGTCAATATAAGGCCTGTAAATAAACGAGCTATAACCACCAAAGGGCTGCAGTCTCTATACTCCTTCTTATCAAAAACGTCAGCATTGATGAGAGGTCAGGGGAAATAACCTGAGAAATGTCACAAAGCTGTCCTATTCTCTATTATGCTAAGTGGAGTGACTACGGAGACTACTCACTATTTTGTGACAGCTTCAGTCCAGAGCTTCTCAACATCTAGGGACCTAGGAGTCATGAAAACAGTTGCTTTAGGCGACCTTCTGGACCCACAATCCCAAAGCAAATTTCTCAAAAACATAAATCACTGAATCTTTATTCCTTGCAAAGTAAATGGACTTAGAACTTCTCTGTAATGCAAGGTACTAGATGGGTTGTCATGATCTAGAGAGAAAGCTTCATGCTTCCTGACTCTATTGAACAAATCTAAGAACTTCTTATTACCAAGATGCACAATTAGAATCTTAAAAGAGACAATCTGTCTTTCCTTGGAAAAGAAGTATAGCTGCTACTAACCTAAAATAACCATGAATAAGCATACCAGTTTTACACAAAATATGAGACTTCTGGAAAGCTAGGTGAACATCATACTTACCTACATCCTCTTGAAATATCCCTGCCAAAGTAGCTCAGATATGAAGCATCCATGTAAGTTCTCTCAATTTTAATTCACTATTTCACATTACCAGCCTAGCATGAAATAGTAGATCCTCTTCGGTTCCAATTCCCTTAACACAGTCCTGATTCTTAGTCCTTTTTATTAATATAATACCTTCACTGCTGATTCTGGTGGCTCAGATAGTACCATTCATATTTTAATGATATGTAATCAAGAAATGCTGAGTTATATTTTACTACATACACATTTTTAAATTCAGAGGACATTTGTCCTTGATAATTTTAAATGAAAACTTGGTGTGTGTTTATTATAGCAAGGTAATGCAAATATAAGTTACCCATTCTAATATAACGAAGCTCTAGGGAAATAGGAAACTACTAAATTTGAGTAGTCTTTGCAGTAGTTTGACTATCGACAGAAAAGATGGTGAAAGAATACCTGGCTTTTAACTCAGACCAAAATCCCCTCTGCATGATGACCTTATGGGAAAGAGGACCAGGGGAGAGGTATGCCAGGCTTTAACAATAGAACTACAGAAATGTATTATTCGCAGGAAATGTGCGACAGTAACGAACGGATGAGACTAGTTTGAGAAGGACCTAGTTTAAAGAAAGTAAACCGAGTAACCGGTAACTGCAAAAAATAATGCAGGAATGTTTGAGGATGTAACGTCTCCTAAATTTGACGTTATGGGTGGGAGAGGGTGTGTAACTAAGATGTAATGCTAGCGACAGAACGCTAAGTTTTAAAACTTAATAGTGAAAGAAAAAATAATGTTCTGGGAGGAACGCCTGGAAGACCCATGCAATTGCTGCACGATATCTCCTTAAGGACCGGAACATTTCTCACCCTGAAGACAAAAGTCCCTGTGTTCTCGATTCAGCCCACATCCCTCAGCACCACTTCCATGCCCATCATTTAGGCAGAATGCCACGGAGACGACGTTAAAAGTGGAATTCATCATTCTGGCTTGCAACCCATCTTGTTCTTTTGCCAGAACAGAGCACAGCAACTGGCTCCTCAATCTCTGCCCCTCCCAAACGCCCGCAGCCGGACCCTATCTCCATCCCGCCGGCCTCTGTGGCAAGGGGCTCGCGAGCTCTGGTTGGCTTGGTCGAAGCTTCCGTCACACGCCAGCTCACCTACGATTGGTTGGCAAAGCGTGCGCGAACCGCCCCGCCTGGCGAGGCACTGGGAGGTGTGCTTGCGGATCCCGCGACAGACTTTTTTCCCGATTGGTTGAAAGAGGAAAGTCACGTGGTATGGGGAGGCTCTCTTATTGGTAGTGAATGGTACCATGGGGTGCAGAGACATGACGTGGTTGGCTAGAATGAATCCCAGCTTCCCACTAGATGCCCCTAGCCGGCTGTTGCTATGAGGTGTCCCGGGGCCTTCCGGCTGCCGGTCGGGGTTCCGCTCTCCAGGTTTTCAATTCACCAGTGGCTGACAGGGCGTGGGCAGAGCTCGACTGCAGTTCGGCACTGAAAGGGGCGGATCTAGAAGAAATGTGAGCGGGTCCAGAGGATTGGTGGGCGGGACCCTGGCGACGTCAGCAGGCTTGGACCCAATTTCCGTGGTGTGTGGCCGCCTCTGGCTCGCCCCTGTGGCGCGCTGCCGGAGGGGGCTGTCACCCTCCTATCAATGTCCTAACACTCGAAAGCTTCGTTTTGTTGCGTTTACACAACTTCAGGCAGAAGCCTGTAGGTGCCCGTCCCCTTAAAGCTACACATGCTAATACAAGATAAAACCAAAGCTCTAGAAGTGCTGACAGACTGGGTGGCATCGGGCAAAGGCCCTCGCGGTCCCTCTTGGGCCTTGGGCATCTCTCCCCTTCACTCCTCGCCTCAGGGTAAAGCTTGGAGGTAGCTCTGGCTCCTCTACCATCGCATCTCCGCCGAATTCTGAACGTGGGAGTCTCTGGTTGACTGCTCCCAGCTCGGACGGAAACTGCGCATGCTCGGTACGTAGGCCCTGGGGTCTGACTGGGCGCTCAGGGTTCGGCGCTGCTGGGCAGTCGCGGTGCTTGTCTATCTCCGCGACGGCAGAAGCTTCGGAAGCCGCGCAGAGCTCTCGGGAGCGCCAGCGGCCGGTCGCCTAGGCGACGGGGACGGCGAGGCTGTGCCGCGGGCTCCGCCCCGGGCCGCCGGCCCGTGGCCGCGCTGCGGCTGGGGCTCGGCGCGCGCGCTCGAGCGCTGGGGGTAGCGGCGGCGGCGCGGCGGGCGCGGATCTGGGCGTGGCAGGCGCGCGGGGGGGCGGGGCGGCGGCACTCGGCCGCGCGGCTCGCGCGGCTCGGCGGCTTCCGCGCTCCTGTCTCCCATGCTCGCTCCAGTCGCACCCGGGTGCCACACGGGCGCATCGCTGCCCGGCTCGGCCCATGCCTAGGGCCAACACCGCCCTGCTCCTCAGCCTGCCGCCGCCGCCGCCGGCGCCAGGGGGCCGCAGCCGCTGTGCAAGGTGCGGGGCCGCCGGCGAGAAGGCGCGCTTGGGCGGGCCGCCAGGGGCCGGGGCTGGGGGGCAGCGCGCGCCGGCGTAGGTCTATGTCGCGGGCGGCGGCGGCGGCGGCGGCCGCGGAGGGACGATGCGCGAGTACAAAGTGGTGGTGCTGGGCTCGGGCGGGGTAGGCAAATCCGCCCTGACCGTGCAGTTCGTGACCGGTACCTTCATCGAGAAATACGACCCCACCATCGAGGACTTCTACCGCAAGGAGATCGAGGTGGATTCGTCGCCGTCGGTGCTGGAAATCCTGGACACGGCGGGCACCGAGCAGTTCGCGTCCATGCGGGACCTGTACATCAAGAACGGCCAGGGCTTCATCCTCGTCTACAGCCTCGTCAACCAGCAGAGCTTCCAGGACATCAAGCCTATGCGGGACCAGATCATCCGCGTGAAGCGGTGAGCGAGGGCGCAGGGGGCTTGGCGGCTGCACCCCGGAGTCACCGTCCCGGGGCCAGAACTCCCCGCGCGGGACTCTGGGGAGGGGGCTGTCTGGGGGGTGGCTCCGAGCTGGAGGCTTTACTATTGTCATTCTGCTCCTCCTCCTCAATCTCAAATTCGAGTGCTTTGTTTCACAACTAAAATTTGGCATCCTGTTAGCCCACAGAACAGCTCTTTGTCTCTTGGCCGTTGTTAGCATTGCTTGTACAGAGCCCCCAAGGAAACAAAGTTTAAAACTTGCAGAGGGGAAGGGAGTGGATGGGTTTGTGTTGGGAAGAGAGGAACTGTGCAGGTATAGTTGAGACATTTGCAGACTGAACAACAACAGTCTGCCTTGGCAATGTTTGACAGCAAAAATCGCTCACACACCTATACAGTAAAGTCAAGTCCAGAGGAAAGAGACCATTCTCATCTCGTTAAAGGTTTATGGTTCCAAGGCGTTTTACAAAAATGAAGTCTCTAATTTAGAGCAAAACTTTAAAGACAGATTATCAAATTATTTGAAGACATCGTAAGCTAAATGGGGTTTCGAGAATATTAACATAGAGGAGTGCAAATAAGCCATTCACAGGAGGAAAAGAATGCAGCTTAGCTGTTTTTTGTTTTTGTTTTTAATATAGCCGCCTTAACCGCTTCAAAAAAAAAAAGTTCCTGGAAACAAAACAGAAGCTTCTTCAAAAGTGTGACTCAAGTATTAGCTAATTTAAAGTTAACGTTAATAAGCCTTTTTATATATATAAATTGTTTTCTAAAGTATACATTTTGGAAATATGGCTGATTACTTAAATGATTTAAAATGTTTGTTTTCTCTTAAATTCACTGAGTATATTTTTCCGTGTAATTTCAAGCATTAGAAATATGATAATATCTTAGTGCAAAGTTTTGGCAGATTTTTCTAATTATCATTTAATTACACATTACCGTTTTATCCAGTTGTTTTTAGTTAAAGCCTGCTGATAATTTTGGTGTCCTTTTTTTCTTGCCTTATTTTACCTAGAGCCTAAATCTGAAGACCTTTATTGAAAGATGGTTGTAAGTGCACTGTAGACATAATCACATTGTACGTCAGTTTGAGTCCACTCATTTTGAAAGAGCAAGGACCAAGTTATGTGTGCCCAGGGGATGCTCAAAAACTCATTACGAGTAGTGGGTTTTTAATGCAACCTATGAGATCAAAGAGAAGGCTCTCTCTCCATTGCTCCACCCGCCCCCTTAACTACTTGAGTATGCACTTTAATAGCTGAACTAAAATTGTGCATGTTATTCATCCTTGTGTTAAATTCCAAACTAGAATAAAGCAGATACTTTCGTGGTCTCTGCTGCTAAGATTTGCGAATTTGATAGCTTTTTACTTCTCCAGTATCATTTTCCTAAAGTTAAACTTAGTATGAGGATGGCATTTAAGGGGCTACATTTAAGTGACTTAAATCCTTATTACCCCCTCCCCCAATACCACACAATTAGAAAGAACCAAACCAAACCAAACCAACTGCAGGGTAGTCTGATACATCGCCACATGTTAATGTTAGGCCAAATGCATACGTCAAAAAATAATCTAAGTAAATGTCCCAACTTCCTCACCCTTCACATTTATATATGCAGGCATAAATATATGAAGATGCAGATATACAATGATAAAGCCACATACCCATGGCTAACTTCTTGAAGCCTAGGGAACAAATATGGCAAAATATTATTGGATAATATGGTCCACATAATTTTGTAGTTTCTTGTAATTTAGTGCAGATTACTTTTCTCAGTTATAATAATAGGTTAGTCTAAACTCAGTATATTGGAGCAATGTATTTATTTTCATTATGGCCCAGAGGAAAAAAAGAGTAAAATTCTGCATGCCCAGATATCATTTTACTCACTAGTCTCAGTTCTTGATATAAAAAGATCATTGATCAGCTGAAGTAGAGTTCATAAATTCTTTCACCAGAATTCAACCATTGTATATGTAAGAACCTCTTGGACCCTCACTTGTGTGTCTTTGTAATATGGTAGTAGTAAGGTATTTTACACCTCATCATAATCCCAGCATCTGGCTTCCCATCATTGATGGAGAGGACGTGTGAATGCAGGTGGCCTCTCAGTATTTGATATCTACTGTCAAATTCAGTATTCAGCTTTAGGTCTAGGTCAGCACTTTTCAATAGAGATATAACGTGAGCCACATATGTAATTTTAACATTCCTAGTAGCTGATTTTTTTTAAATAACATAAATATGTGGAATTAATTTTAATAATGTATTTTATTTAACCCACCATATTTAAAATAGAATCATTTCGACATGTCAATATTCAAAAATTATTGACAGGATACTTTACTTTTTTATACTGTGTCCTTGAAGTTTGGTTTGTGTTTGACGTAGCACATCTCAATTCAAACAAGTCACATTTCAAGTGCTCAGTAGCCACATGTGGCCACAGGCTGCCATATTGGACAACAGAGGTCTACGGTGTATATGATTTGGGGAAATGCTTGCTTATTTCTCTAAACTTCAGTTTCCTTATCTGTGAAATAGAGATTAATATGCACCTTCAAGAGTCCTTGTAAGAATTAAATGAGATAATGTATTTTAAGATACCCAAAACAATACCTAGTACACAGAAGTTGCTCAAAAAATTCTAGCTGTCATTCTTACTTTAATAACTTTGTCGTTTATCTTCCTTAAATTTTACCCTTGATATAAATGTAATTTTAGAAGAAATAAATTTGTAATTGCATTTTGGAATTCAGTATTTAGTATAGGCAAGATGAGACTAAAAAACAATGAGGTTAAAATAATCCTTGGAAGAACTGTGTTGGTATTCTCTTTAAATATTTTCTCTTATGAAGGATCTGGTGGAAAAGGGCATGAGAATGAACGTTTAACTTCAAGTACAGTGTAGCAATAATGCACAGCACTAATGCATAGCCAAACGATGAATGGAGCTTTTCATTTTTCATTTTCATTTCAAATAATAGCAGTCATTTTCAAGGATTTCTATTACTTGAAATATTTCACTTTTAAGAAATATAAAACTGACCCGTACTCCCTTAAGTGTCTGTAAGTGTACATACCTCCATATACATACACGACCTCTTATCAAAGCCAAGTGGACCACCTGAAAATGGCTGTATTTGTAAATTCATATGCTTTCTTTTCTTAACTTGATTTTGGGTGACATTACACACACAAAGAAAAGTAAT